GCTAAAGTAGGTATGCTGTGTAGAGGAAGGGATTGTTATATACCATACAGTAAGCATATACTACTTGATGGACTCCTCACTATACTCTCCATATGGCCATTTCAAACACTACTCAAACCACCTACCTTTCCCCACTTACACTGATTGCTATAACTCGTACTTCATTGGGAAAATAGAAATTTTTGGAAGGAAATTGTTTTATCTTTCCACCAGCAAGTTCTTAGTCAAGTTCATTTTTTAGTTAATTAATTAATTAATTTTATTTAACAATTGTACCTATATTATGAAAATAAAATAAAAACTTTGAAAACAAAACAATCCTTTTTAATTAAATGGAAAAAATTGTTATTTTTTATTGTTTTCTGTACATGAGTTACATGCAACTTGAAAAATAGTTCATGTGACTCCCAAGGTAAAGATGTGTATGTGAATGACATAAGCTTCACAAGGCCCTGGGCTCAAAACTAGTGTCAGTTAAATACAACTCATATGGCAGTTAATGTGATAAACCCTTCCCAGAATATATTTTTGTTCTTCAGCAAGTATTTAATATATTAAGGAAATTATAAAAGTTTTATAGTATTATTGAACATCTATATAGTGTTGAAGAATAATACAAACTCATTTAAAGCTTGCCAAATATTTTTTAAGTATTTGATTTAATTTGACCAAAATGTATTTGTTTATTTTTATTTCCTCCTCTGTGATTGGCCAGTTGGAGATATATTAAGTATAATCTCTCTCTTCAAGTAGGTTACCATTTAGTCAAAGAGAAAATACTGAGTAACATGTGAAACAATAGTTATTCAACAGAATATTAAGTACTTAACTGCTGTGGCAATACTGCAAATGACTAAAAAGCCATTACTACTATTGCTATTGCTGCTACTACTACAGCTGCCACCCACCAAGCTAGCCCTGCTGTTTCCCTATCTTTTTCTGTTTTTATGTGAAATTTAAGTATAGAATGAACACTAGTCTTAGAAAGGAGAACCACTTTGCCTGTCATTTCTTTCAACTGAGCAGCTTTGTGCATATTATAGTTGGAATTTTTGAAAGTAGTTCCTTGTATTAATTAAATATAGGAAATATCTCTTATGTTTACATAAAAGAAAGCAATCTATTTTAGAGAGTGGTGGTGAACCACCAGAATTATTTGTTGGGTCCAGAACCGAGAGGGAGACACACAGACCCTCAGGTGTAGCAAGATGATGTTTATTTGAACATCTGGGTACAGATGGGTGGAGGCTGAAAAGAGTGTCCACGCGGGGAATGGGAGAGCCTTGGGTTTATAGAGGGTTTTTCTGGGGGAGTATGGTAACTGGGCCAGAATAGCCACTGTAATGAATTCTTATCAAACAGTTAGTTCCTAGGACCCCTGCACATCCTGCAACTCCAGCATAGGTCCTTATCAAGAGGGATAAGGAATGCAAGTTTCCCTCTTGTATTCCATTCCTTTATCTCCCTAGGGGTCTGGCAAAGGCTATGTGCCTAGTATTTACTGAATTTTTTTCTCTGGTTATAAAAGTAACATATGCCTATTAGAACATTTGAGAAATGTAGAGAAGTAGAAAAAATGAAGGATTACTCTCCCATAATGTCTGTGGCACAGAAGTTACCACTATTACTATGTTAATTTAGTTCCTGCCAATATTTTTGATGTATAAAGTTACATAGTTGAACTCATACCCTGTGTGCAATTTTGTGTGACTTCATTTTTTCCATTTTATTAACTATTTTTTACACATGATTTTTTAAAGGTTGCATAATATTTCATTGCATTGCTATACTACAATTTTTTTTGAGGGGGGAAGGCATTCATTGGTTGCGAGCCACAGCAAAAGATTTAAAATTGGCCTGGCGCGGTGGCTCACGCCTGTAATCCTAGCACTCTGGGAGGCCGAGGCGGGCGGATTGTTTGAGCTCAGGAGTTCGAGACCAGCCTGAGCAAGAGCGAGA